GCAAGAGCATTGTGGTGTTAGTGATTGTCCCGGGGAGGGAGTAGTGCCCTATCCCCCTCATCACCATCTTCCCCTCCTCCCTTTTTTTCCCCCGCCCCCCAAAGGAGGGGGACCCCTCTCCTCCCAAAACCACACCATGAAATACATGCGGAAAGCGCCCTGCGCATTTTCCCCTTTAACCCGGGTTAAAACAGTTTGAGGTATGGCAGTGATGAAACCAGCCCCCCACAAAGGCCCGGGAAACAGTGCACCCGCAATGAAGAAGAGGTAAATGTCGGTGTGTGGAGGTTTTTTAGCAAAGCAAAAAGGGATGGCCCCATTCGTGCCAAATGGTGTGGGGATAAATATGCCCCCGCAAAAGAGCCCCAGCCCCCCACGGCAGATGACAATTCAAAGGGACTCCTGACTTGCGATAACCCCTGTTGGTTTCAGATCCAATGTAGCGGTACCCCATCCCACTCCCCAAAGCGGTCCCCTATGCAGCAGGGAAAATTTAAGACCCTTTTCGCAGGTGAATGGGGGTTCACCCAACTTAGAAGCCCGGGGGCACCATCCCGATGGCGCAACCTATCCTGTTCGGCAAAATTTTGTCTTTCGTTCCCGAGAGAGAGGCAAATGCTAACCAGTCGTTAAAAAAGGCAGTGCCCAAACCCCAAGAACGGATAATTGTGCCCTTGCCCATTTCGCAGGAACAAAGAGGTAGACCAAGAAAAGTCCCCCTGAAACGAGAAAAATTGCGCCCGGTTTGCAAAAAATCGAAGGTAACACAGTGGGGCAATAAGAATAATTAAGTGACGACACTGTAGCCCCCAAAGATGAGACACGGCCAAGCCTAAGAGAAAAGCATCCAACCAGGGACACCATAGCCATCAACGACAACCCTGAGGAAGACCCCATCACTGAACAATTAATTTTGCCAGAATCGGAAGTCTATAAGGCGATCGTGTCATTTCCATCGGGATCTGCTGGATGTTACACTGGAATTCGACTCAGCACCTATAGGGTATTATATATATATATATATATATATATATATATATATATATTATATATATATATATATATATATATATATATATATATACATATATAATATATATATATATATATATATATATATATAAATATATATATATATATATATATATATATTATATATATATTTATATATATATTAATAAGAAAACCCCTTCTTCCACAAACAAAAGTTAAGAGAGTTTTCATGCAAAACCTGAAAAGCACATTTTTTTTAAGAAAGATTTCAGTTAATTTTCCTTTCCAGAGCCTTTTAATTTGTTCACAGACGGTAATGCTGTCTGTGCCACTGTCTGTGTCACTGTCTGTACCACCGTCTGTGCCACTGTCTGTGTCACTGTCTGTGTCACTGTCTGTGTCACTGTCTGTGCCATTGTCTGTGTCACTGTCTGTGTCACTGTCTGTGTCACTGTCTGTGTGACTGTCTTTGCCACTGCCTGTGTCACTGTCTGTGCCACTGTCTGTGTCACTGTCTGTGCCACTGCCTGTGTAACTGCCTGTGCCACTGTCTGTGCCACTGTCTGTGCACTCTCTGTGCCACTGCCTGTGCCAGTGTCTGTGCCACTGTGTCACTGTCTGTGCCATTGTCTGTTCCACTGTCTGTGCCACTGTCTGTGTCACTGTCTGTGCCACTGCCTGTGTCACTGCCTGTGCCACTGTCTGTGCCACTGTCTGTGTCACTCTCTGTGCCACTGCCTGTGCCAGTGTCTGTGCCACTGTGTCACTGTCTGTGCCACTGTCTGTGTCACTGTCTGTGCCACTGTCTGTGCCACTGTCTGTGCCACTGTCTGTGCCACTGTCTGTTCCACTGTCTGTGCCACTGTCTGTGCCGCGGTCTGTGCCGCTGTCTGTGTCACTTTTTGTCACTGTCTGTGCCACTGTCTGTGCCACTGTCTGTGCCGCTGTATGTGCCACTGTCTGTGTCACTGTCTGTGTCACTGTCTTTGCCACTACCTGTGCCACTGTCTGTGCCACTGTCTGTGCCGCTGTCTGTGCCACTGTCTGTGTCACTGTTGCACTGTCTGTGTCACTGTCTTTGCCACTGCTTGTGCCACTGTCTGTGCCACTATCTGTGTCACTGCCTGTGCCACTTCCTGTGCCACTGTCTATGCCACTGTCTGTGCCACTGTCTGTGCCACTGTCTGTGTCACTGTCTGTGCCACTGTCTGTGTCACTGTCTGTGTCACTGTCTGTGTCACTGTCTGTGCCACTGTCTGTGTCACTGTCTGTGCCACTGTCTGTGTCACTGTCTGTGTCACTGCCTCTGCCACTGTCTGTGTCACTGTCTTTGCCACTGCCTGTGCCACTGTCTGTGCCACTGTCTGTGCCGCTGTCCGTGTCACCGTCTGTGTCGCTGTCTTTGCCACTGCCTGTGCCACTGTCTGTGCCACTGTCTGTGCCACTGTCTGTGTCACTGTCTGTGCCACTGTCTGTGTCACTGTCTGTGTCCCTGTCTGTGTCACTGCCTGTGCCACTGTCTGTGCCACTGTCTGTGTCACTGTCTGTGTCACTGCCTGTGCCACTGTCTGTGCCACTGTCTGTGCCACTGTCTGTGTCACTGCCTGTGCCACTGTCTGTGCCACTGCCTATGCCACTGTCTGTGCCACTGTCTGTGCCACTGCCTGTGCCACTGTCTGTGCCACTGCCTGTGCCACTTGTGATGTAGTTCAGCTGGGCTTGTGAGGTCTCTGGGGAGATCTAATTTAACCAATTATATGGTCACACCTGCCTTGGCAAATGTCGGGTAGCCACGCCCACGTCTGAGGTCTTTTGTTCTTGACGGCGTCAGACCTAGGCGTCAGGTCGTACACGTGGTTGTGGAGGGTGCTTGGACCACCATAAAAGCCCAAGGAAGAGCATGATCAGCAGATTCGAGCGGAGCTGCTGCTGGAGTGCAGACCTCCTGAGCAGAGACTTCGAGCGGAGCTGCTGCTGGGGTGCAGGGCTCGGGAGAAGGCTGCTGAAGTCTCTGGAGGAGGGACTGTTGGGCATTGGGCAGAGAAACTGGCTTGGCGCAGTACTCGTGCTGTGTAGGTCTTGGGACCTGTGGCTTAGTTCCTGTGATGAACTGCCCTCTGAACTATATTGTAAGTTACATTCATTTTTGTCAAGTTGATTGTATTCCCTGTCTCACTGCTTATACATACCATCCCGTTTATCTAAACCACAATGATGTACTCCTGTTCCCAAATATATTAGTGTACAAAGACTTAATAATAAACTGTGTTTGAGTAGAATAGTAATATTCACGGTCCCCGTTATTTTCTCCATTTATTTATGTTTAGTTAAAGTAGTGAGAGGGTGAGTAGTGTGGAGTGCGAGGGTAGAGTAATGAGAGGTGAAGTTGTAGTCACCAGTGACCTCACATTACCTACCTACCGCTCACCTCTCCTGTCATTACCTACCTACCTCTGCCCTCATCCCTCCTACTGCCTCGCCTGTCCCCATCCCCAAATAACTCCCTCCGCTTATCCCCATATTCCCCTAATCATTACCCCCCCTACATGACACACTGTCTGTGCTACTGCCTGTGCCACTGTCTGTGCCACTGTCTGTGCCACTGCCTGTGCCACTGTCTGTGCCACTGTCTGTGCCACTGCCTGTGCCACTGCCTGTGCCACTGTCTGTGTCACTGTCTGTGTCACTGCCTGTGTCCTGGCCACTGCCTGTGCCCTGTCCCGTCCACGTCTGTGCCACTGCCCGTGCCACTGTCTGTGCTACTGTCCGTGTCACTGTCTGTGCCACTGTCTTTGCCACTGCCTGTGCCACTATCTGTGCCACTGTCTGTGCCACTGTCTGTGTCACTGTCTGTGCCACTGTCTGTGTCACTGCCTGTGTTCCTGTCTGTGTCACTGCCTGTGCCACCCGCCTGTGCCCCTGTCTGTGTCCCCCCCTGTCTGTGCCCACTGCCTGTGCCACTGTCTGTTTCCACTGTCTGTGCCACTGTCTGTGCTACTGTCTGTGTCACTGCCTGTGCCACTGCTGTGCCACTGCTGTGCCACTGTCTGTGCCACTGTCTGTTTCCACTGCCCGTGCCATGTCTGTGCCACTGTCTGTGGCCATTGTCTGTGCTACTGTCGTGTCCCCTGCCTGTGCCACTGTCTGTGCCACTGTCTGTGCCACTGCCTGTGCCACTGTCTGTGCCACTGCTGTGCCACTGTCTGTGCCACTGTCTGTGCCACTGTCTGTGCCACTGCCTGTGCCACTGTCTGTGCTACTGTCTGTGCCACTGCCTGTGCATATCGAAATAATGTAAAACCCTTTTCCCGGTGGTTTCCCAAAAACCGTTTGAGGCGACAGTAGTGAAGCTGAAAACGCTTATTGTACGAATTCATTTCGACAACGTTTTGCCTGTCTAGAGATTTGTCAAGTCAATTCCCAAAAAACTCTACACAGAAGAAAACGTTGTGCCAACTCCCACGCTTGTTTGCAGTGTCTTATCTTTGCATCACAGACTATCGTCAAGTTTCGCTCCATCTACTTTCCTGGGGGTACTTCCCTTCCTGTAGCCACTTCCCCGTCGAACAGTTTATGCTGAAAGCTTTGTAAAACCGACAAGCAAATATAAAAAAAACACATACATCCTGGAATATCTACTACATATGCATGAAGAATGGTGGATTGAGCACTTCCTAGCAAGACTGAGGGACTGACCTCCTATAACTGCTTCCTCATGTCTTCCACCGTCTCAGGATAATTCTCTGTATTGCACTGATGAACACAACGGTTGGGGGAAACGTCTTGAAGGTGTGTCTTATTCGTCTTCACTTGAACGTACTTACCTGCTGATGCTTCTTTCCTGAGGGTACTTATTTGTTGCAACTACTTCCCTTTATGGTACTCACTTGCTGCTGCTACTTCCCTTGATGGTACTCACTTGTTACGGTTACTTCTCTTGATGGTACTCATTTCTGCTACTTCCCTTGTTGATACTCGCTTCTGCTACTTCCCTTGTTGGTACTCACTTGTCACGGTTACTTCCCTTGTTGGTACTCGCTCCTGCTACTTCCCTTGAGGGTACTAGGTGCTGGTACTTCCCTTGAGGGTACTCGCTGCTGGTACTTCCCTTGAGGGTACTCGCCGTGCTGCTACTTCCCTTCAGGGTACGTCTTGCACTAACAACACGTAATATCTCCACCTCGTCTCCCCAACTTGCAGTGAGTTGCCAGTAAAAGAATCTTGCCATGGATTTTATGCAGTGTATCTCTCCCAGGCTTTCCTGACATTATTTTTTTTTGCCTTACAGAGGGAGGGATTTCATTGACTTCGAGTACATTGCACTCACGAAAGGCATTGAGAAAATTTCGTTCTGCTAGCGGATATTTTTTGTAGTTCTTCCCATACTATTACAGGTATGAAATCGCTACTTTTCTGCCTGACTACAACACTGTATCCTGATGCTGCCACCCCCTACACATACATCCCCCTCCCATTACAGCACTCGTTCACTCCCCTTCCTTCAACCCCTTCAGGGTGGGAGGGAAGGAGGAAAAGGTGTTTTGATCTCAATGAAGGGCTCTTGAGCAAAGGAACTAGAACGAGCTAGAAACTTAACTACTACCCACACTAATCTTTGAAAGGGTTCTAAGAAGCAAGATCGCCACACATCTAGATACCCATCAGTTACACAACCCAGGGCAACATGGGTTTAGAGCAGGTCGCTCCTGCCTGTCCCAACTACTGGATCACTATGACAAGGTTCTGAATGCTCTAGATGACAAACAAAACGCAGATGTAGTATACACAGACTTTGCAAAAGTCTTTGACAAGTGTGACCATGGTGTAATAACGCACAATATGCATGATAAAATAATAACAGGAAAAGTTGGTAGCTGGATTTATAATTTCCTAACAAATAGAACACAAAGAGTAGTAGTAAACAGAGTAAAGTCTGAGGCGGCTACGGTGAAAAGCTTTGTTCCACAAGGCACAGTAGTCTCTCCCATCTTGTTCCTCATCCTCATATCTGACATGGACAGGGATATAAACCACAGCGCCGTGTCTTCTTTTGCAGATGACACCCGAATTTGCATGACAGTGTCCTCCATTGAAGACACTGCAAGACTCCAGAGTGGCCACCTGTGACCAGCGGGGTCCCACAGGGGTCAGTCCTAGGACCAGTGCTGTTTCTGGTATTTGTGAACGACATGACGGAAGGAATAGACTCCGAAGTGTCCCTGTTTGCAGATGACGTGAAGTTGATGAGAAGAATTCATTCGATCGAAGACCAGGCAGAACTACAAAGGGATCTGGACAGGCTGCAGACCTGGTCCAGCAATTGGCTCCTGAAGTTCAACCCCACCAAGTGCAAAGTCATGAAGATTGGGGAAGGGCAAAGAAGATCGCAGGCGGAGTACAGCCTAGGGGACCAGAGACTACAAACCTTGCTCAAGAAAAAAGATCTTGGGGTGAGTATAACACCAGGCACATCTCCTGAAGCGCACATCAACCAAATAACTGCTGCAGCATATGGGCGCCTAGCAAACCTCAGAACAGCATTCCGACATCTTAATAAGGAATCGTTCAGGACCCTGTACACCGTCTACGTTAGACCCATATTGGAGTATGCGGCACCAGTTTGGAACCCACACCTAGCCAAGCGTGTAAAGAAACTAGAGAAAGTGCAAAGGTTTGCAACAAGACTAGTCCCAGAGCTAAGAGGTATGTCCTACGAGGAGAGGTTAAGGGAAATCATCTTGACGACACTGGAGGACAGGAGAGATAGGGGGGACATGATAACGACATACAAAATACTGAGAGGAATTGACAAGGTGGACAAAGACAGGATGTTCCAGAGATTGGACACAACAACAAGGGGACACAGTTGAAAGTTGAAGACACAGATGAATCACAGGGATGTTAGGAAGTATTTCTTCAGCCACAGTGTAGTCAAGAAGTGGAATAGTTTGGGAAGCGATGTAGTGGAGGCAGGATCCATACATAGCTTTAAGCAGAGGTATGATAAAGCTCATGGCTCAGGGAGAGTGACCTAGTAGCGACCAGTGAAGAGGCGGGGCCAGGAGCTTGGACTCGACCCCTGCAACCTCAACTTGGTGAGTACAACTAGGTGAGTGCAACTAGGTGAGTACAACTAGGTGAGTACATCAACTAAATTTTTAAATGGGCCGCAGAAAACAATATGAAGTTCACTGATGACATTAAAACTGTATCGGAATATAAAACAAATTCCAACCACACAATAGAGCGAAAACTAATGTAAAAGACCTAGGAGTGATCATGTCATAGGATCTCACCTTCAAAGACCATAACATCGTATCAATCGCATCTGCTAGAAAAATGACATGATGGATAATGAGAATCTTTAAAACTAGGGATGCCAAGCCCATGATGACACTCTTCAGGTCACTTGTTCTATCTAGGCTGGAATTTTGCTGCACACTAACAGCACCTTCCATGGCAGGTGTAATTGCTGACCTAGAAAATGTACAGAGAACCTTCACGGCACGCATAACGGAGATAAAACACTTCAATTACTGGGAACGCTTGAAGCTCTTCAACCTGTACTCCCTAGAACGCAGGAGGGAGAGATACATGATTATATACACTTGGAATATCTTAGAAGGATTAGTACCAAACTTGCACACGAAAATCACTCCCTATGAAAGCAAAAGACTCGGCAGACGATGCAACATCTCCCCAATGAAAAACAGGGATGCCACTAGCACGATAAGAGACAACACAGTAAGTGTCAGGGGTCCAAGACTGTTCAGCTGCCTCCCAGCATACATAAGGGGGATTACCAGTATACCCCTAGCTGTCTTCAAGAAGGCGCTGGACAGCCACCTAAAGGCAGTATCTGACCAGCCAGGCTGTGGTTCGTACGTCGGGTTGCGTGCGGTCAACAGTAACAGCCTGGTTGATCAGGCACTGATCCTCCATGAGGCCTGGTCACAGACCGGGCCGCGGGGGGCATTGACCCCCGAAACCCTCTCCAGGTATACTCCAGGTAATGAGTACTTTGTGGGATTTGTCTTGCACTATTTTTTTTAATTGTTATCACAGTCCTAAACAGAGTATCTCCTCTCTTGATTCAAGGAATTTTTCCTCTCTCCCTTTGATCAAACCTGATCCGGTCCTACCTACGTAGAACAAACGGAAAATGCAATAATTGAAGTAATTCCTCTGGCTGGCTTTATGAATGAATTATAAAGATATGTGAGTGATAATGGTTTGATGAGAGGAGGAGGAGGAGGAGGAGGAGGAGGAGGAGGAGGAGGAGGAGGACCAGCTTTACCCAGGTCAGTAAGCTTACTGCAATGTCTCTCTCCTCTCTCAGTTTACAATTTTCGGTTTCTTTTTTAGGATACCGGATGCCTTTGCTGTTTATATGTGCGATATTATGCTGTTTAGCAAAACAAAATACATTTTAATTGTAAAAGGATGCAAGACAACCAAAACAGAAAGAACTGAGGCTTCTGCACACTCATCAGGTGAGAAACTTCAGACATGGGCTTTGGACAAAACTGCAGAGTAATGGAAAAGATGAAAAGAAAGCGGAGCTCTCGGACGTTAAGGAATTCCTCACATATCACCAATTTGAATTTAGAAATGGGAAGTCGTGCCCTGCAAGCCTTATAGAGAGACTTATGTCAGGAAAGAGTATATCCTAATTCACTAAACCCATGCTAGTAGTTGTGGATCAGACTTCTGTTCGCTAGTGGCAGCTGTCTCTGACCAGTCATTCGAAGGCTGGTAGAACGCATATTCCAAGACTAAGAAAATCTCTGACACAGAACCACACAACCACTGCTACACCCACACACACAGTAAGAAACGAGTAAGAGGCGAGATTCTAGCTAGAATATAGCATACTTCTTCTTCATCCTTTTTTCTTTGCTTCTCCTCTGTTAATTCCTCCACTTCTTGTCCTTCCTCCTCCTTCTCTTCCTCATCCCCTCACAGGCTTAGAAACTCCCTGCCTACCATTTACTGAAGCCACAAGACCCTCCACAGCTGTAAACTGAGCAATGCACAACGACACTCCAAGAATTAATGTGCATCTCAAGCATTCTGGAAACAGCAGAGACCTTGCTAGTAAATTATCAGGACCTAGTTCCTTCTCACACTCCCGCGACGTGCACAGAATAAGATGCTCTCAAGAGGAAAGAACATCGAGGAATGTTGGTGACGGGAGCAACACCCTGACAGGCACGTAAAAGGACAGGTGACGCAGAGTAAACCCTCCCCTCACGTTAGACTACGTTTAGTTAAGATTGAGATTTTAAAAAAATTTTGACAGAGCTCAGTCCTGAGTGAAATGTCGTCTGAAATAAATACTTGCTCTGCACTGTTTTTCTATTTATTTTTCAATGAAAACAGTTCATTTGAGAAACATCACTAATGTTGTCTTACATCGTAGATAAGATAGTGTCTCATAGGTTAACTGTTCTTGTTTGTTAGTTCATGACTCAGTGAATAAACTAATCAACATTTGTGGCACGCAAAGTGTATGTAACCTTTATTAGGCGCATATACACACCCTCATTGAAAGGCTATCTCCCCCAACCAGCGAACCAGGTGCTAAGGGTTGTCGATAAGGCCCCATCGTTCAATCAGTACCCAGGTTCCAGCAAATGAGAAGATGGTTTTTGGCAATCGCAGAGGCGTCGTAGATATCACACACCTGTCTGCCCTTGTCATTCCTATTATAAAGCTGGTTGAAGCACGGTCTGCTCTCTAGTGGCTTCTATTCTGCCTTGCTTACCATGGAGTGCTCTAATACCTATTGTTGTATATAATGTATATAGTGTACATAATTCTGTTCTTACTTGGTGAAGAATAATATAAGTCAAAAGTTTTTCTGCTGTTTAATTTGCTCACTTTACACCCAGGATAACAGGCCTTTGGACTCCTGGGTTGTAATATGGAGGCCTGTCCGGGAGCTGACGCTGGACTTAGAGCACGGGTTGAGCCTAGGGTGACGGAAATCTAAACACATATGCAGTATAATGTGATCCTTTATTGACAACGTTTCGCCCACACAGTGGGCTTTTTCAAGTCACAAACAAATCTACCTGGGGTGGAAGGTACGCAAGTATTTATAGTCAGGTTCAGAATGCTGAGGTCAGGTGGAGAATGCTGCATCTGATGATGTACCGAG